ACCTCAAATCATCTCAACAGCCTTAACCTTAAAGGTCGAACAGAAACAGACCCACAACTACACAGAAAACTAGTTACATGGAGCATGAAGTAGCAGCAACAAGTTAAGACACTGACATTGTGTTAGACAAACCTAACTGCTAGTTTGACACCTCTGAGTAATAACTTGGTACCTGAGCTTGATTTACAACAGTTTCTTATACTTTGACAGAGATATTCTGAGACTAATACAGAACCCTTCATTTATCAGAATATGAGCTTTATGTCAGACATCACTCTGAGGGGGCAGTCGTACTCCGGCACAGTACGAAGCTGTCGTACCTAATGTGAAAACACCCTAAAAGTGCTGAGTCAAGATCAAGCAGTGGTAGTAAGAAGTACTCAAATCGGTTTCTTCAGTAAAAGTATCGTTATCACACTGTAGAAATACAAGTAAATATCCTGCAATTAAAGTTTTACTGAGGTAACGGTACAAAAGTATTAGAATCAGAATATACTTTACTCATTACGCAGAATGGTCCATTTAAAAAAAATATTGAATATATTATTACTGGATTATAATTATTGATGCAGTCGAGTGTACATCACTTTAATGTTGCAGCTGGTAAAGTTGGGTACATTTTAATATACAAAACCCCTCAGGGTAAGTTTAAATAGTACTACTCTGCTGTTGCTCACCTATCTCTGCTTGCGGTGCAGAGACTCCGTCTGCACATAAAAGGTCATACTGAATGCAACACAAATCCAACTAGTGTTTATGGTTTGCATAAAGCCTGGAGTATAAACAATGAAATATGTTTCAATGCACTTAAAAACATCTGCTGCTGCCTGTTGAATAATGATACAACTCATGAAGTGTGGTTTCAAAACTGCAACTGTGCACCAACACCAACGCCCAGATCTGCAGCTGGAAACTGTGGTTTCTGTGGATCAAGATTGTAGCAACATTTGAAAGAAACCTTCGGGTTGTTTCAGGTTGGTCAACATTGCGTTTTGCATTTTGTACGTTTATTCCGCGAAGGGTCATTTGATGGCCACAGATGAGTATTTACCAAAAGTGAGAGGAGAACCAACATGGTCCAAAATAAATATAATGAAGAGAATAAAAGTGTCATAGATGCATAGTGAACATGACTGGTGGTGGAAACTGATTCGTGCTAAACAAGTCTGCTAACAGCAAGTAATTAAAGCTATTGATGTTGGATTGAGTTGCAGTAAAAACACAGTGAAAAGATATTGTGGATCTATTTGCTCTTCTCCGCATGCTTCAGCACTCTGAAACTTCTCATTTGTTCTTGTTAAACGGGAATAATTACATACAAACGTCTGATTCGTATATTTCGTTGTGCGTACTTCTTCATATATTCCTTATTGTACCTCAGACTTTATAATACACGCCATTCACACACATGTTCCACTGCGGTCAAACCAAACACGAACAGATGAGTCACGATAGCCTATCAGACTTCTAGCTATCAGTCTGTGATCTCAAGTCTTTAGAGTCTTGCATACTTGTGATTGTGAGAATATAGACATGCAAACCTGCGGTTTCTGTCACTCATTTAGTTGTTGGTGCAACAACACACTGACAGAAGCCAACAACAGCCCAAAGGTCACAGCTAAAGAGTGGATCCGTAACAAATGATTTAGTTTTTTCACTTCAGGTTTATCGAACTAAAAGGTCACCTAAGCTTAATTGGCTCTGCTAATACAGTGCTCTTAGTTAATGTACCTACTACAACAGATGTGTCTTTCTAAATGTAAGTCTAAGAGAAAAAAGTATTTTCAGGCCCAATGGCATCACGTGACAGACGTAGATGTTGTAATTCCAGGATTTGGCCACTGAGCTAAATGTGCTTCAAAGCCTGGCGCTCTTGCTGGAGGCCTCATTCAAAGGGAAAAACTGAAAATATCAAATGACATCAAATGGAGAAGAGAATAAATTGGTTACTAACAGACTGTGTGAAAACTCATCCCATGCTGATCACATCATGTGTGTACGTGCTTCAGGCTGCTGAGGCTGCTGAACCAGACGCTTTATATTTACTGTAAGAGCGGCAATGCTGCATTTCTTTACTCACCGCATGCACTCATCACAATATGACAATTAGAGGTGTTACCGACGCACAGAGGATGTAGCTTTGGAGGTCTTGTCGAAGCAGACCTTAACCACGGGGTCCCTTACTGAGCAAACTGTGGTATAAAAGGGTCGACTTGACACCTCAAAGAGAACAGGATGAGTATCACCGGCATGATGCATGCTCTGCACAGGTTTCTGCTTCTTCATCTCCTGATGTATCTTGGACTTTACGGTAAGACTACTACGTCTGGTCTTAAGTCTCTGATCACCCAAATGCTGCATTAACTCGTCCTTCTTTTCCTCTTATCTTTTCAGCACTTGGGAGCGAAATCATAAATGGTAGGAAGGTCCCAGAGAACTTAATGCTGTACATGGCCTCAGTGCAGAACAATGGCGGTCATGTATGTGGAGGATTCCTCATCAATGAACACTTTGTGGTCACTGCAGCGCACTGTGAGCGCTTGTGAGTTAACTTCCCTCGTTCAGCAATCTTTCAATCATGTAATCAAAAATCCAAAGAATGTAATATTACATGAATCTTTTAATTTATTTTGTCAACACAACTTAATAAACACTGCTGACAACCGCTCACTGATCATTCACTCAGGAATCCCACCAGCGTCGTTCTCGGCACCCACAATCTCCAGAAGGTTGATAATAACACAATGAGATACCGTGTAAAGACATGCAAGTTTCCATCTTATGTCAATGTCAGCAAAGGGGATGACATCATGCTCCTCAAAGTAAGTTGATATTCAATCAGCCTAACAGTCTCAGGTGAAGCATTTTTACAGTAAAATCTTTCATGTTCTGATTTATTCAGTTCTAGTCCGCACAAAACTGCAAAAAATGAAAAGCACAGACATCAATACTAAGGACAGCTCCATCTTCCACTAATTCTTTTTTTAACTTGAATTCTGAAAGAGGACAAGACGTATGCTGTGAATTGGTCCTTGCTGGTTTTTAATTGTCACTTTGTCATTCCGTGTGTCTCCAGCTGTCTAGGAAAGCTGGACTGGGCACAAAAGTACAACCGATTCCACTTCCAAACACGGAGATTAAGGTAAAAGATCAATCAAAGTGCCGTGTAGCCGGATGGGGTTTGACAAGAACTGGTGGTAAAGTTGTTGACGGCCTAGAAGAGGTGGTCGTGCCTATCGTGAACCTGGAGGACTGCAAGAAAAAATGGGGTCATATTAGAGGTAATCTTCCTGCCAATGTTATCTGTGCAGGTGGATATGGCACCAACAAAGGATTCTGTCAGGTATGTTTTCTGTCCATTAATAAAAAAATGTAATGTCAACCTTTTTTAGTCTGACTGGTTTCTCGTCTTCTAGAAACTGAATAAACAAATGAAGCTTCTTCCTCCTCACAGGGTGATTCTGGTGGTCCTCTGGTGTGCAGTGGGAAGGCTGTTGGTGTTGTGTCTTTCAACATGAAAAAAAACTGTGACTACCCAAATGTACCCAACGTCTATACAAATATATCAAAATACCTTCCCTGGATCAAAAAGATTCTCAAGCAAAATAATTGTTGAATGTAACAATTCTTTGATTGCATTGCATTGTACTGGCTCCTCTGCTGTAGAACAGCTGTCCACCTCCACATGAGGTCAGCTGACACTGTCGCTGACTTTAAATCTCGTCTTTAAACTCACTTTTACAGAATGGCCTTTCTTAACGACTGACATCCTTTCTTTCTTATCATGAGCTGGCTGATATGTTGTACGGTAATTATTATTTTCAACCTCTTGCAGTTATCTGTTCATGCCGTATGAATTTACAAACTGTGTGCTTTTTGCTTGAAGAGTGCTTTATAAATAAAACGTATTATTGTGGAGGCATTGCAGTATTCAAGTTGCCCCGTCACTGTTTGCTCTATATCTGAAATGCAAATAAAATGTCACTTTGAAACGTCAAAGACTGTTTTTTAATTATTGTGGTGAAACAAAAACTATATGTAGGGTGATCCTTTACAAAAGATATTGACAAAACCTTTTTGGACCAAGTTTGATCTGCAGCCAATCCAACTCACTGCTAGACTAAAAGGCAACTCTTTCCTGGTGTATGTTCGACAGATGATGAAGAGCATTTTCAAATCCAATTTGCAAGACCTCAATGGTAAAACGATACAAATAAGAAATAAACCTTTGCTTCATTCTCAGTACAAGCCTGTTGTTTTGGTTTTAATTACCATGCTGAATGTATCACCATAGATTTGTCCTCCCTTGGTTTGTGTATGTGTGTGCTCGCCTGCATGTGTTGTAGATATATTTGTTAACCTGCAGGCGGTTAAATTTAGAGTCTTGCATACTTGTGACTGTGAGGATGTCATAACTGTGACTTGTCACTCAAAACTGAAGCAGGAAACTTGTTTCTGTGGTTCATCTGATACCGTCATATAAATTCAGAAGAAAATGTTTGAGTAGGCTGTTTAACCAAAACCCCCAACAGCCAAATGATTCAAATACAGATACTAATGAAGATACGAACATCATTACTATCCGGTATCTTAGCATCAATGTCTCTTTTTTCATAAAAAAAAAGATGTACAACAAAGTGCTATTGAGTCATCAAATTCACCCAA